CGCGGTGCCGCGCTGGATTTCGTTACGCCTTGCTGAATAAAAGTCACTCGATTAAAACCAGCCGCCTCGTCTGCGTGTGTGTGTGGAAGGTATTGTGTGTGTGTGTACTGCGGCAGCAGTGCGGCGCTGGCTTGGCGACAGCATTTTGAACAAATCTATACCCGTCACGTACACCGTGTCGCATTATCGCGGGAGTTCAGTGTAATATTACGACCAACAATAATTATTAATTTAAACACACTTTACGTTTTCATCAACATTTTATTACACAATACAGCTATCTGATCATTTAGCAATTTTCAAAACATTTTCACTGCTCTAAGTATTACCGTGTACGTATTGTTTGCGGCTAAACTGGTGTTGATGCCATGCGAATGACAGCCAGAAGCAGCAGTTTGTAAGTGTGAAAATATTAAATTTAATGAAAAGTAATAACTAATAATTTATTTAAATGTTATATTAATCAACTTCAAAATTACAGAGTATGTGTGATTATAAGAGATGTGGGGCGTTTGAGCGATTGTTGCGGATCTGCCTCCTGAATGTCAAAATGCTACTCAATAATCTGCCGTTCATTACCTCAGTCTCCCTTTTCTATATGATTGATTTAAAAGGTAGTAGATAAAATTGCGGTGGTAACTCCGGCATTATTACAAGAGGTCTGGCAATAAACTTCATGTTCTTATGTGATCTTGCTATCATATCCAGATATCAAGTTCCCATTTTCTATGACAAAACGACATTTTGAAATTCTTCAATGATTAAATAATGGCTGATATTCCACTTTACCAGTATTTGTCAATATTATCGCGACTACATTATCTACATTATTAATAAATACATGTGCCATTACCACAATATTTGTTATTTAAAAGATTTAACGAACTGAAACCCAATTACCTACATAATAATAATATATATAACTTAACAATCGTTCATCCAACAGTATATACAAGGAAAAAGCTGTTCAATATAAATATTAGTCTAATATGCACCTGCTTCATAATTAACAATCAAAGAGATTACAATAATTTTGAATATGAGTTGAAGTTTGGTAATATTAACACCATCGACTTATAATTTATTACCTTTTCCGTTTGATGAAGTATTGTATGAGACATATTTTATATTTATAACGCTGCCACGCTCGTTACAGTCCTTCTAACGTATCAACTGAATAATCACGTAGTAAACGGATAAATACATAATACAACCCTATACTAGAAATTTAATGAATATTTTAAATACTTTATAAAAATATGTACTACCTTTAAAAACACCTATAGATACTTTTAATCGTATACAACTTTCTTGTGAAATTAAAATATTGATATCAGCAACAGTTTTTGATAATTATCCATGTGCTATCAAAATTTTCTTTTGATATAAAGACACTCTAGTTTTTATGAACACATAACACTAATTTTAAATTTGGTACTTCAACCTTTGCCAAACTTTAATCATATACAGCAGTTTGAAATAAGCGTAATTTTTATCTTATTCTCTTGTCAATATTATGATTTTGAGAATTTATTTTATATAATGTGCGTTTTTGTTATGCGTTTAAGCATATACTTATCAACTATTATACAATAACAAAATAATATGTATAATAATACTCCTGCTAATATTTTATTATTTTCTTTAAAATTCTTATATTGCTATACCATTTAATATAAGATATAACGATTATGATTGTACAAGTTTTTAAATGTTCAGTACATAAATACATGAATTAAAAATAATTTTATTTATTTTAATAAGTTGTAAGGTATAGATAAAGCCAACAAATTTACAGATAATATTTGAAAACATGATTATTTTATGGTGGGAGTAACAACTTAAGTTATCAGTTATATATGCTGAAATTACTTTTAAGTAATATGATATTAATTATATTTGTGTAAGTTATTTATATGTGATTTGTTACTTATTTGTAGTAATTATTGTAGAATTACTCATTACTTTATTTAGTTTAGCCATGCAGTAAAAGCGATTAAGGTATTGATTATATGTTTGAATACTTTATTTAAAATAAATTTGAATAATAAAGATAATAATATTTAATGTGTAGCAAATAGGTATTTGTTAATAATTTATTATTTGGTATGTATTGCCCTATCAGAACACATAGTTTACTAAACATAAATATATTTGAAAAAGTAACTTTATTGTAATAGAGTTACTTTTAAACTCAAAAATGTAAATTGACCAAATAAAAAGTATTAAAAATTTAGTTATTTTGATAAGGAATTAAACAATGTGATTTGATGCAAAAATGATATTTCCTAACACTGGTTATATTCTGACTTAATAACTTCTACAATTACCGAAGAAACTATTTAAAAAAAATAAAATTTTACTGAAAACAACATTCGAATAATAATGAGATATTAATATGTAACAATTAATTCCATATTTTAATTGCTCGGAATCATGTTTATTGATTGGAATTTTTAAAACTCTAAAAAAAAAAAAAAAAATATTTCATTGATTAACAGTACAAATTTATAAGTAAAGAAATGAGATAATAAAATGCATTTTATGGTACCTCTAATGCCAAGCCGTGTAAAAAGTAAGCCGTATCCTTTCCCGTCTGCTCTACTATATTGTAGAAAAATCCGTCTGCGTTTTTCAACAAACTATATGGATGGTCAAATTCAATTATTTTTCCAAAATCCATTACTAGTACTTTGTCAGAATCCATAATAGTATTTAAACGGTGAGCAATTGTTAAAACTGTACAAAATCTAAATTTATTCCTGATTGTATTTTGAATCAACTTATCAGTGCTGTTAATACAAATTAGAATATAAATAGGTATAGTTATATAATTAAATATTTAAAATAAAATTATTTTTATTACAGTGGATCAACATTGGCAGTGGCCTCATCCAATATCAGAATTTTATTGTTTTGTAGTATTGCTCTGGCCAAACAAACTAATTGCCGTTGTCCGACACTAAAGTTTGAACCACTCGCAGACATTTTCGAGTTAAGACCGCTGGGCAAATCTTCTACAAAGTTTTTGAGTTCTACCTATAATAATAATTATTGTTTGAAAATCTTTAAATGAAGTAAAAAGAGAGCTATTATTTCGTTTTAAAGTAGAATTAATTATAACACATACTTCATCTAGGGCTTTCCAAAGAGCATGATCCGGGTATTCGTCAAACGGATCTAAGTTTGTTCGCATTGTCCCAGAAAACAATACTGGTTCTTGAGGAATTATAGACAACTTAGATCTCAGATCTTTGAGTGCCAATTTGTGTATATCCATATCGTCAATGATAATCTTACCTTCATTCAGAGCTAATCTAAACAACGCTCCAATAAAGGATGATTTACCTGCACCGGTCCTGCCAACAATACCTATCTAAACAAAAAAAAAACAAAATGATCATTATTGACCATTTAAAATCGCATTAAATGATTTACTTTTTCCATTGACTGAATTTGAATGTTAAGATCTTTTAATACATAAGGTGAATTAAGACTATAACGTAGATTAAAATTTTGAAATACAATTCTCCCTGAAGAAGGCCATTCATTTGCCACCGATTTCTCTGTAAAACAAATTAATATTTTTCATGCGAATTATTTATTAGAAATTAAACAATATAATTATTAAATTTCACCTTCAATGGAGGGTGGAGTATCTTCCTGTGGTAAATGTGTATATTCTAAAACTCTTTCAACTGATGTCAATTGGCATAGTAGTAATGTCCATTGTGATACTCCCCATTGGATTCGACAGAGTAATGTTATCACTTGTGTGAGAGCTAGTCCTACACTTCCTCCGTAAATATCTAAAATTATAATTATTGATAAAACAAAATGGTTTGAAATTACTAACAGAATCATATAAGTTAATGCTTACTGTTTCCAACTGTAAAAAAGCTGAATAAAATAATACATAAATAAAGTATACAAACGTTATCCATACGAAATCCGAGTCCTCGTTTTAAATATGAATATATGTGTGAAGCCGAAGAATGTAAATCCTAAAAGTTATTAAAAAATTATCATATAATTCAAAAAAATGTTATAGAAGCATAAATAAAGTAGTATTTTTAGTAAATTTTTATAAAAGTACTTGATGTTTATCAAATTCTTGGGTTAAAATATGTTCTGCTTTATATGCTCTTATTGTTGTTAATCCTTGTAATGATGTATTCATGTGTGCTATTACCGGACTTCGAGCTGTTTATAGTAAAAATATGATATATTTTATTATTATGGTTGTATTGAAAGAAAATGTATGAAATTGCAACCCACCTAAGTAACTTAGAAACTTAGGTTATGACATAGTGATTAAAAATATGAAATATCTTAATCCAAATAAGACCTTTTAATGTTGAGAGTATTTATTTTGATTTTAACTAATAATTAAGATGCTTATAAGAAGTTTTTCTTTATTTCAAAAATAATTATTGTCAAAAAAAAAAATAGGAATTATATATTTAAATTTATTTTATATACTATATGGATTTTCGAACTATTTCATTAAATGTCGTAGTATTTAGATTTTGTTTTGATGCGCTCTAAGTGAAAAAAATATTGATTCAATTTTCAGACCAATAATATTTTTTATTTATAAGTGTGAAATTTTTATTATTTTATGCAAAGGTATATGAAAATGTTTGTTACATAAACGAATGGTTAGTGTTTATAAATTAGTGCTCCATCAGTTTCGATGCAATACAACTCTGATACTTACTAGCTGCTTCTAACTTTTTGACACTCAGTAATGTATAGAAATAATAATTTCTAAGTTTATAAATGATTATTCCCACAATAAATGTAGGTATTAAAAGATAAATATTGATCACTCCAACAATAAATACAGTCCCAAAAATAAGCATGAAAACCTGTCAAATATAAATAAACGGTGAGAACTTTTACTTTCTTAAATTAATTACTTTTAAAAATTATAATAATATAGCATAAGGAATTAATAAATAAATTTGTAACTTGTAAAGTATCCAAAAAAACTTCTGGTAAGATTTCATCCACAGCTCCTAAGTCTTTTGAAAAACGGTTCATTATCTTTCCTGCATAAAAGTATCATATATATATAATGTAAAAAATATTTGTTATTTAAAAAAATATAAACACCAACCTGATGAATTTGTATTAAAAAAAAACATGGTGGTTCTTATAAGGGAATGGAACATTTGATTGTGTAAATTAATAGAAGCTTTTGTTGTAATTTTGACAAATATAGCAGATCTAATTACTACTGATACTATTAATAAAATCATTAACATGGCATAAATTATAACATAGTATTCGTGATAATTGTTTAACCATAATGATAAGTTAGATGGTCCATGTGACTCTGATGTACTATTTTCAATTTTATTCATTGTATTATACGATTTATATATTTCCTGGTTAACCCTGAAAAATTATATCATACAAATTTCAAAATTATTTATATATTGTTTAATTTTTATTGTAGTACCAAAAGCTAAGCCAATAATCTCCACCGACAGTCAAAACTAAAGTTAAAAAACACAAAAAAAAACCCCAAAAAATGTTGTATGAACTTCCACTAGCAGTAATGTACGATATTAATACATTTTTTGATTGATATTTTGATTTTTCATTAGATTTCTGAGTTAAAGCTTTAAACTTGGATGACAAAACACTTTCGTTAGAACCAGTTTGAGATGAAATTAAGCGTTCATCTACATTAATATTGTTTTTATCGTTAATTTCAATTTCATTTTCTATAGTTATATCTTTTAAAGGTCTAAGTACTTTCGCAAAGTCAAAAATAGAAGTTTGAATATCTTGATAAGATCCTTCAATTACGATTTTACCCTAAAAATAAAAATAAACGTCTTAATAGAAGGTTAATTCACTATACTATTAAGAGTTATTTTAAGCTTATAAACCTATACTAACATTATCCATTAGTACAATTTGATCAACTTCAGATAAATGATGCACTTGATGAGTAACAATAATACATGTTTTTTCTTTGAGGTAACCTGTAATTAGAATCCGGCGATTAATTGTGTGTTTACGATTATAGCATTTGAAAGTCCACTTACTTCCAATACATTTTTCGAATAAATGCTTGCCCACTCTAACATCAACAGCTGAAAGTGGATCATCAAATAAGTAAATATCTGCTTGTTTGTATACCGCTCTGAAATCGAACATTTATAATTATTAAATGTATAAATTATGATTAGTTTTAAAATTTAAAGTTGCCTAGCTAAATTAATTCTCGCTTTTTGTCCTCCACTCAAAGTGACTCCTCTTTCTCCCACTATCGTTTGATCGCCGAGTGGAAAATGTTCAAGATCGCTTTTTAGTGCACAGATATCAATGATCTATTTCAAAATCATATCAATTAACTGTATTATAAATTTAATGTTGGTATATAATGTTAATCTGTTTGTATTTACTTGTTCGAAACGTTCTTTGTCCATTGGTGATCCAAAAATAATGTTTTGTTGAACAGTCCCCGAAAATATCCATGGTTCCTGTGATGCATAAGATATTACACCTCGCACAGAAATTTCACCGTTGGAAACAGGTAATTCTCTTAAAATTGCTTGTAATAATGAACTCTGTAATCATTTTTTATTATCGTTTTATAATATAGAAAGTAGATGCAATATTCAAATTGTATAGATATATTTACCTTTCCGGCTCCTACTGGTCCGATAATTGCAACCAAATTTCCAGAATTTATCGTTAAATTAATATTTTCTAAAGTGTTATTGGTTTGAACATCCGTCCATTTAGCGCAAGTATTTAAAATAGTTATGCCGTGACTAGTAACAGATTCTTTGTTTTTTTCAAAGTCATCACAATTATTAGCAATTTTGTCATCAACAATAAGTGATTTTCTACAGACGTGCTCTTCCGGTTTATTAGATTTGGAATAAGAGTTTTGGATTTGATGATCTTTTTCCTCGAGTAATAAATAATGCTATACAAAAATGTGAATCTAATTTTAGATCTTAATGGAGCAATTAATGTATTGGATATAGTAAAAAGCTTATGATATTTAAAATTGGGAGATTTTTTTTTTCCAAGAATTTGAATTGAGTTATTAATATTTTAGCGGGTTTAAGTAACCGGGAGTAAAAAAAATTTAAGAAATTTTATGCAAAATAAATGTTTGATAAAACAACTTTTTTTTTTATTTGTGTTCAACTACCATCAATTATTTATGTAAGTTATTTCTACACATTTTATGATGTCTAATTGTTTTGACTTTTTTTAAACAATTTAAAGTTATTTAAAATTTTCAACTTTTTTTTTTTTTTTTTTATAGGTGTTTCAATGATTTGTCAACAAAAAATATTCATTCTTTAAAAATCCTTAAAAACTAAACACAAAGTTCCTTATAGATCGGTCATTTATCAATAAAAATAATAATAAAACAATATATTTTTTAATTCATTTAAATTTAGAATTTATAAGAAATTATTTTGTAGTTAAAAATGATTCACATTTTTTTGATGTTTAAGATTTGAAAAGTTAACAAAAGTTACACTATATTTTTTTACTTCTAATAAAAAAAAATCCTAACCTAACACGCTGGTTACGCGACACCGATGTATTAGAGTGCTATTATGACTTGCTCATATTCATTATTTTACATAATTAAGAAAATTTTAAATATAAAAGTTTAAAAAGTGTTAACTTATTCATACCTGTATCCGTTTTAATAACACAATTATTTCACCTATTCCCAACACACTTGTAGAAAATTTTACTGCCATTGACGTGTGCAAAACATTGAAAAAGCATATAAGGACGTAAACCTATATGAAAATAATAAAAAAGGATATAGTTTACTATTTATAAGTATATTTATTTAAATCTGAACTTACTTTTTCTGAAGATATAGTATTTCCTAATAGGATATACATTAAAATACTGATAAATATTTGAAATCTTGATTGAATTATTTTAAACGATAGTCCTAGGAATCTAATAAATGTGGCTCCTTTAATTTGTTCTGCTTCTATTCTATAATACCCTCAATAAACTTAAATATTTTTTACCTATATTATAAATAATATTATTAAACCATTCATACTTTCTCGCATATTCTATAAGATTCTTAAAAGGTTTTTCCCATGTGTACATTTTGATCACTTGTATTCCTGAAATGATTTCATTCATTAATCGTATTCTTTCATCTGTGTTCTTTGTTATTTGCAAACGGAATTTAGAAAGTATTTTCCCCATCCAACCTGAAATTGAAAAAAAGTGGTTTAAATTATAGGTAATACTCGCATAATTAATTATTTCATAATTTTTGTGCAAGGACTGTAAACAGTTTTATTTTAAATACCTTGTAACGGAATAAAAAAAAAAAACGTAGCTACTCCAATTAATAAGGAAATACCAATTTCCTGCCACAATAAATATACGCCTATTATTATTTGGAGTGGTCCAACCCATAAATAATGTAAATAATTTAATGTATATTCGAATTGATTTATATCATTTGAAATTAAATTCATCACTTGTCCAGCGGTAGTTTCATCAAAAGCTTTATGACTTAAGCATAACGTCTACATTGAAAAAAATAAAATCAGTATTCGTATAGTAAATTAAAGCTTATAGTATGGATAAAAACACTGGAAAGTAATATTCACGTTTTTCTCCACATACAGTACATAATACAAAATAAACAGTTCAAAATATTGTCGTATCAGTTTAATATGCAATCAGAACATTTTAACAATAAGTCAATTAATAAGAACAGGTACCTATTAAATTTTTTGGTAATAATTTAGAAAAATTCTAATAATGTATTAAAGTTATATGCTGTCATTATTTATTGTACTTCAATCCTATGGTTTGAGATCAACCTTTTCCCTAGTTATCTAACTTTAAAAGTGGTCATGATATGAGTTAAATTATTACCTATCTTTGGTTTTAGATTTTTAACATAGTAGATATTTAATATTTAACGAACTCTTAATTACAAAAATTTTGTAAATTTTCGTTTTTTTTTTTTTTTGAATTTTAAATGTTTATAAAAATTGTGTATGAATAAATTTTTAATATTTTTAAAAAAAATTATGATAACAGTTTGTATTAAATTTTCAAAAATCAATCATTTCTCATAAAAGTACTTAGGGTCAAAATAGTTTGAAAATGTTATCATGTATAAAAAATAATAATATGGATGCAAAAGACTTATGAGGAATCTTCTATTTAATCTTTGATACAATTTTTTATGAAATTTTAACTTCTAAATACTTTGTATATTTTTGAGATTTTGTTATAATTTTAACATTATATAATTATATTTATATGTATAAATTAAAATTAAATAAATATTTTGTGCTATGTATTTTTTATATTTTTAAATAATAAATTAACAACTTATGAGGTATTCTGAATTAAATATTCAAGATTTTTGACCTAGTAAAACTTTTTATCGATATTTAAAGAAAAAACGAAAAAAAAAATATTGAATAACTCTATATAAGAAGAATAAAGTATTAAAAATTTTGTTGAGAATTTTATTAAATTGCTAAAAATAAGACTATACGTACTTATTTTATTAAATTACTTAATACGTAAAACATAATTATATTATAGGTGTTATTTCATATTTGTTTTTAACGTTATTTACATATATAAGTAATTTAAGTTATAAGTGAATTTCAATTTAAATATTTTACAGTTAATAATTCAGTATGTAATAGTAAATGTGTTATTTAATAAAATGTAGAACAACTTATTAAATTTAGAAATATTAAATATAAATAAATAAAATATGTCAATAAATGTATATATTATAAAAAAATAAATACATTTCAATTAATTGAAATATCAAACAACAATAATTTACAGTAATTCAATAATAGAATATTGTAGGAAATGATTTTAAAAATGTATTTAATTATTCCTCTACCCTAAAATGTATAATTTATGTTAGCTATCACACTTATAGACTGCAAAATAATATAGTTACTACCTATTTGTTTAAAAATCTTAACATATTTAAATGTTATTTATAGAATATTTTGTAGGTTTACCTTTCTGTAGATTAGAGAACAGCAAGCAATACGCACTTTCATAGTTTCGTTCGTGGTTTCTAATAAAGTATAATAATAAAGGATATTTGACATAAATAAGCTGAACACTAAACCTAATGAGTATAGGTATGCATATTTTATATCAGTTTTTTTGGAATGATTAGGATCGAAATATCCTAATAGTTTACCAATTATTATAGGTTGAGTCATACTGAAATAAAGGTATAAGATTTTAAATCAAACATTAATATTACAATAATATTATTCTACATTTAATCATAAACAATGGGATTCTACAATATTAAATTAATAATAACTAAAAATATATATTTTTTTTAATAATAATTGTAAATTTAATTTATAAATTAAAAAAAAATCTTACTTGAAAATGATTTCAATTATACAAAACATAAATCCGTGTAGCAAGAATTTAGCACCAAACATTTGAATCAACGCTCTCAACAATTTTGGCTTTCGGTTCATTGAATACGCAATGGCTAATTCTGATTTCCACATTCTAAAGTGAAAATAGTTATTAAGTTACTTCAAAATAATAATAAGAATCATTATTGTAAGTTGTAGGTAAATTATAGTCAATATACTTTTCCAATTTATTGCCTAATGACGATGATTTGTGGTCGTCTAATGTCGTAAACAAATCCGTTTCATTTAAATCTCTGACTCGTCCTATTTTTAGTAGATTTGACGCCCAACTATAAATAAAATGTATAATCAAATAAGTAATCATAATACTTATTATTTTTAATTTTGTATAAAAATGCAGTATTAAAAATATAAAAATATTTATTTCTTTCATAATAAAATTTATTAATTTAGAAAATTAGGGTACACTGGTTTTTACACAGTGTACGTGTGTACTATAAATCAACAATCTAATAATATTTTTTAATTTATACATTTATAATATTTATTTGAGTAATAGTGTTGCACTATAGATTCTGAATCGTGTGGGAAAAGAATTAAATTAATAACACGTGTTTTTAGAAAATTTGATTTAGTATTGGCTGTTAAGCAGTCAAAAATAGAAAATCGTTCGTACCTATATATAACTATTATAATAACATAATGATATTGTGAAAAATGTAAAAAAAAAAAAAAATGGGAATATTTACAATTATTTGTTATAGATAAATTTACTTTGTAATATAAAATTAAGTAAATTTAAAGTATTCAATAAAAAATGATCTAGAAAGTATAAAATTTGCTATTCTTATCAATGAAAGAAGTGGATTTATATTAAATATAAATGTGTTTCATCTGAAAAATAAACCCAATCAAGTAAAGAAATAAGATTTAAAACAAAGTATTTAATTTTTTTTGTCAAACAAACACTTATAATATAAATCTTTTTATATAATGAAATATTTATATAGCTTACATTTTTCATACATTTTACTTGTACTTTAATACAACTAAAAATTGTTATGAATAAATATTGATAAATGTATTAATTATGAATATACAAATTAACACCCTAAATAGTTATTTAAGTTAAAAAACGTTTTTATTTTATTCTTTATTAGCTAACTGTCAATTAATTTTATTTTAATTAATTAACGAAGTACAAAGATTTAATTAAATTGTAAATATTGCTAAAACTAATATTTCATTTTATTTTAGTAATCTTAAGTAAGTTTTTACTTTTTTTAAATATTAAAAAGAACGTTTCATCAAATAGTTGCAGTTTACGTACAAACAAAAATGCGAATCACATTATTTATGTTATGATAAATTTTGCATAAATAAATGTTTTCATGCCATTTACAAATTTTCATTGTTTTTGATTTGGGATTGAAGATAAATACATTCAGCTTAGATTAGGTTTATTAGTTTAGGCTATTTTTGGTATAATTGTTGTATATTATTTTCAAATTCTACAATTTTGTATAATTGTACTGCACTTGATTAACTTACTGAAGAAATAAAAACGTAAATTAAAAATTATACACGCGTTTAGTTTAACATCTAATTTATTTCTTAAGCAGTCTAAAATTACTTGTATATTTCTATACAAAATTGATCACTTAAATCAAGTTTTCAATAAAACTATTCTAAGGACGTTTTACGTTGATTATATATTAAGATATAAAAATATATTTGTTCACGAAGTTGTATGAAATGCAGTTATTGCTGCTAAAATATACTTAATAAACGTTGTCACTGTATCAGCTGTTATGTTACAACGATCTTTTTTACATAGTATAAATGATATGAAATATTTGAAAGAAATCGAGTTTGAAAAGTATACATAATTCATGCATATATTTTTTTTTAGGATCTATTCAAAAGAGAAATTAAAATAAATTAGAAGTACTAAAAAAATTTGGAGCTAGTAATATAAATGCATTTTAAAATATCCGTAGAATGTTAGGAGAATTAAATTATAAATGTTGGTAGATAATAATTACCATGCAATATCGTTTTTCATAAACACGTTGACGGACATGACTGCTATAGCAGTCATGCACCTGGCTATAATTTCATCATCAGTTTTATATCTCATTAACACGTTGACGGACAGTCACTGCTATAGCGGTCATACTAATTTAAGTCGTAATATGAACATGACTGCTATAACAGTTATACATTTGCAAGTCGTAAAGTGGCATAACCACTATAGCAGTCATGTTAGTTATGGGTTTATCGTACTAAGACAAGTGTAATGTCCATTTACGACTTACAATCTGGTCAGGCAAATTAATCAAATGAAGTTTAAAAATATATATTGTTTTATTTCTAATATTTATATATAATACTCAAAGAATTTATTTGATTTGATTTATATTTTATATATAATTTTAATTGTTATAATAAAAAGGATTTGCGTAAACTATGTAGTTATTTATACTAATTGCAAAACAAAAATATAAATGTTATTTACTTAACTGCTATAGCAGTCATATGACCTTACACGTAGAAAAAAAGTCGTCTATGGGCTTCAACTGCTATAGCAATTAAGTTTTTTTCTATTTTCATTGTTTTTGTTTCTTTATATTAAAAAAAAAAGCTCAGACTCATTTTTAATATAAAGCAACTTTAAAAAAAACTTAATTTATAATTCAATTTAAAATTTCTTCTTCTTTTTGAAATAAATGCAGTATAATTCAATTGTAAAGTATATAATGTCAATTGTTTGATAAATCGAAACTATAAAATTACATTTTAAATGTTAATTAGTCTTACTCCTCATCATTATAAAATGCCAAAAAAAAAAAATTAAAGCGTATTAGTATCTGTCATTTCTATGCATTTAATGTACACAAGTATATTTAAACTAAAAAATACGTTTAGGTAAATTATAATACTTATAGTGTATTTACCTATGTGTGATGATTTCGAAAAAATTTGCATTACATCTTGGGTTGGGAGGATGTTCTGCCTTTGGTATTTCGCTTAAATAATAAAACACATAAATATAAATTGAGTAAATTAATACCTATTAGTTAATATAAGTCTAGTTAATGAATACATTTTATAACTTACTTGTACATAATATATATAATACGAGAATATAATTCGTATTATGATTTGTGATGAATACTAAGTTATAATAATTATGTTTTACTGTTATTTATTAAAGTTTTATCGTATTCCTTGTAATGGATTTATTTATGAATATTATTTCGATTACAATTAATTATTGGCTTGTACTAGACTATTATACACGCACACCAATTTTTAAGTAACTGAAATTATAAATATTGAATGCAGTTATATTTTTTACTATCTAATACCAGTTTTATATTTAAAGTCTGTATACAGGATGAACTAAACATTCTCATATAAGATCAATATAAAAAAGTGAGAGGGTCTTGAAAATGAAATTGAAGACTTAAATTTGTAAAACAATATTAATATACTTTAAAAATATAATTGCTCCATGGTTAAATTCACCAAGAGTTGTAATATAAATAGTTGCATGTTAAGTACAGACTAGAAGGGTCTCGTTTTGTACGTGAATGAATGCGTATTGGTATCCGTGATCACGTGAATGAAACCAATTAAATCACGTAAAGACAATACACGTGAATTAACAGCTATTCGTGAAACTGAATGATAAATATGCCCAATATCAACTATTTAAATGTATTGTTAAATTTCACCGTTAGGCCCGTTGGATGGATCTTATCTGGTTGTTGGATAAAGTAGTGGTGTACTGGAAATTTT